ACACAGCAAGTGGGGGATAATTGCGAACAACAAAAAATCAGAAAACCAAAATAGCAGAGAGGAGGAAATATTCTATAATTGACAGAACAACAATACGTTGCGCTTTTTGTCTGTCTGAGATTTTTTGCATTAGGCGACGTAAAACCCAGAGGAAAAACAACTGAAACAAAAGCCAAGAGACAGCAAACCGTGGAAAGCCAGTGAAAAACAAAAGCAAATGCCGAAACAGTGAAAATGTTCCTTTCATAACTTTTTTGCCAAATTGTCAAACCAACGCTCTCCAGGACTTTTGTCGAGTCTCGGACCAACAAACTTACACATTACCTATACGAGTATAGCAGATGAAAGCGCGGAACCGAAACCAGATACCGAATCCGAACAGAATCCGAACCTATGCGATAATTAGAGAGGGACAAGCAATAGTTGCAGTGTAAAATAAACTACATTAAACGTTTAAAGTGTTGACTACCCCCCACGCAGATCATTTCAGATTTTCCAAAGATCGCGGCTTGCGACTTTGCCATGTGCATCACACTTATAAATAATCAAAAACTAAACAAGAGGTAACAAATTAAGGAAGTTAAGGAAGCTAAGGACGGAAATCTTCAATTTTAGATAGACAAAGATCAGGCCATCCGACGGTCTGGCATATCGGTACTTTGGACAGAAGACGAGGACCTACGAGACGAGGATTACTTTAGCAGGTCACAGGTCATTGGAGGCTATTCCAAATGCAGCTTCTATCCTGCGGGGCAGATATTTTTAAACGGGGGAGGCTGGCGGAGGGCAGCGATGGCAAACATGTTATATTTGCATAATATATATATATATATTAAACCTACTTCTAAGGCATATATAAATATATAAATAAATATATTTTTAAGACATGTTCTAAAAGCAATAATTCAAAACAACAACAAGCGTGGCAGAGGCAGAAGTAAATTGAACAAATCCCGAAATGGAATACATAAAATATACACCAATATATAAATATACATTAAATATATACACCTACACCTAATTATATATATACATGCATACCAGATATATATATATATATATATCTATATATTCAAGAAAGCGACTAGCTAAAACACCAGGCCGACCTTCGACTATCTTAGTCTGAGTCTGAGGAAATCATTTCGCTGGCAGCTAAGCCTGTATTGCTACACTTCTTTAACTAGAGCCCATGATCCATGATCATTGGGCCGGCAATCGTTTGTACTCGTATTATTTGTGGTGTAGGTAGACGCAGGACGAAGGACCCCGAGATAGTCTCGGGATCCCAACTCCCTTTTCGTTGTAAGTCGATGCAGCTTTAGGTGTAATGTTGAGTCTTTCCTAGAAGTTTCCCCAGCATTCCCCGCTATCGATCGACGCTAGGCTTTCCGTTTGTGTTTTGTAGTGCTGTATATTCTATAAGGATCTTCTGCGGAAGCTGTAGCCGATTACAGACATATAACTATTGGTATACCGGATCAAGTTCTGCTTAAAGAATGCCGGAACAACAAGCAATGCGTCCTTGTAACAAAATCAATTTCAGTCAATTAGAGAATTTCCAACACCAGCAGCACAGAGACATAAAGACAACAACAAGCAACAAGAGAAAGAACAAGAACATTTTTTAAATACAAAAAAGAAACAAAAAGCGAACAAGTGAAGACAAAAAACATTTTTCATTATTTTTTTACTGCTGCGCCGTCAGAGCGAAGAAAATATGGGACGAGATGGCAGCAGTAGACGGCGCAGGCGCAAAAGCTTTAAATTGAACAAAATATTAATAACACGAACAAGGAAAACAATTTATAGGATTCGACATGTGAGCTCTCTTTTTTATATCGAGAACGGAGAAATGTGTGTATAAAAAGTATGCCGTAACGATTTTTTAAAAATAATGTACCCCATACTTTAAGCTATACGCAACTTTCGGTCACAAAGTCAATTGGTGTTCGAAGCCGGGTGGAAAGCCAAAAGTTGAAAATAAACACGTGGCACAAAAAGACATAAAGTGTAATGTAAAATAGTTTTAAATTGGCGAAACACCAGAAGACGACGATGAGGAGGATTGGGTGTAGTCGGAGTTACGTAGATACATATACGAATTGCTTTCCGTTTTTCTCTTATTATTGACTTACAAACATATCAGTTCTTATTATGTGTATGAGTATAGCAACAACATCAACAAATACGATTACAATTACGATAAAGATTACGATAATGAAATACAATTTAACTAATATCTAGCGCTAACGAACGAATGAACTTTCTGTTTACCAAAACCAAGAACAACCACACAGATGAGTTAGGCATGCCGCCCACTTGGCCTTTTTGAGAAGCGCAGAGAGAGGCGCAAAGGGGCGCCTGGCACGATTTACGACTTGTGGGCCTTCTACACTTTGACGTGCTTTTATACGATAGCAATCCTTTTACTCACACGAGACATTTCTATCCTCGGTTCTTTTTTATAGACATGTGTACATACACCCCACAGCACCCACATAAAAGACACACACCCAAACACACCCAAACACACCCAACACACTCAGCCACAGACACAGACACAGACACTGGCACACGCATATATACGATGGAGATCACATACAAAAGAACCTTCATACGAACGATCACTTGACTATTTTTGCTATAAGTAAGAAATTCCCCCCAGGAATGTGTCAGTTGGAAGTGGCAGAACTCCTGCTGACAAAACACCTTTACTATATTGACAATATCTCTTATATATTTTACACTATACTATATGGAAAATTATATATTAATATATACAAGAAAATGAGGAAAACCAAAAACAAATAATACATAATTGAGGCAAGACAAACGGCGTGGGTGGCGTTAAAATTGTATTTACAAGAAATGCGTAACCAAGCAAGATGAAATCATTTTAATACTTTATACACATAAAAGTCAAAGGAATCTTTAGAGATGAAAGCAGGCGGCAGATGAATATGCTACTACAAGACAGACAACAAGACGATGAAGATACATTTATAAAATGCGCCATAGCAGGGCGACCAGTTTGTAAGTATTCTAACTATGTAAGTAAAGTAATTAAGGAGCGCAGAACGAGAATCAATTAAACATACATACTACTGTCTACGAAGCCGCAGAGCCAAAAACTCTGGCCACTTTCTGTGCGAATTCTGTAACACAAAGGAAACCAGACGGAATGAATGCCGGATGCTGGATGCGATGGGTTCGCATGATTCAAAATCGGACACATTGGGTATGAGGGGTATGGTCGGCCTAATGATGAATGTTGGATGCGAGATGCGAGTTGCGAAATGGCCAATGTGTGTACATAAGCATAAACATAACATAATATAAACTGGTACAGTACTACACTTACAGCAAACTATACAAGGTAACAACATAATAATTAAACGCCAGATTCCGCAACAAAGCGACGAAGTCAGAGACACATACACATAAATAGAGGCATAACGAGAATTTAATAAACAATTTTTCATTTCTACAAAGAAATCCGGTAACGAATTTGTATATTTACTACGAGAAAATGCATGAAAACGAGACAAAAAAATAAGAAAATCCGAAATGTATACAGAAAGATATATATTAAAAGGAGGACAAATCCCCAAAAGACCGAAGAACCTTTCTGAGGACAGCAAATAAACCCGTATATATGAGAATAAACCCAAAAATGATATATACATATATATACATAGTTATATAACCAAGAACAACAAATAAACATATAGTTAAATTCAATAATGTTAAGCATTCGATGAACAAACAAACAGGCAGGCAGGCAGGCACGCATATTGGTGGTTAAAAAATTCAATTATATATAAGGACCCTCGAACCGAAAGAACAGAACTATGCGGCCACCGACAGCATCGGCAACAAAACCATCAACAACGCCAACATCCTTAACAACAAAAGCAAGTGCAACATTTATTAACGGACGACAAAAGGGCAAATTGTTGCTCTTTTACACACACGAAATTACATAAGTTTTTAAGAGACACACATACTCACCTCGCCCACACACATTCACATTCACATTCACATTTACACCCACTCACACAGTCAGCCCGCAATATGTATATGCAACAAAAGTGCGTACAGCTTTAGCAGCAAATAAAAACTCACTTTGTTCACCATGTGCCACGTACAGGGAGGATAGAAGAGGTTCTTGGGGAGGTGGATGGCCACTGTCCCCTCGATAAGGTTAAGATCGGCAGTGAAATAGGCAGAATCAGCAGCAACAACAGAGATCAGCAACCGCATATTAAACCAAAATGAACAAAATGAAAAATGAAGAAAACAAACAAAGAATTCAAAAGAACAAAAATGAACTAAAACATGATTTTAAACAAAAATTAAATTAAATAATGGCATATTAAGTTAAGCTAATGGTACATAAGTTTAAAAAACAAACGGCAAGAAACGCTCTAGAGCAACAAAAAAAACAAGATGAACCGAAAACCAAGACAAACAAATATATATATATATATAAATATATATATATAATAAAAATTATAATGAAATAACTGAGAAATAAATAAATTAATTCATAATGATAAATAAACCAATATGAACATTGTTCAAAAACATAAGACAATTGCTTTTTTACTGGGCTTTTTTCACAGAATGTCTTCAAAAGTAAAAGGGGATGAATGGGAAGAATTATTTAGAGGTATACCACTTCAAAAACCGATAAAGATAAGTTGGGTAATGGACTTCGGACCAGTTTGACTCGGCTATTGATCGTGATAAAAAATATATATATAGAATATATTGGAAATGCTTCCTTCTGCCTGTTACATACTTTTCAACAAGTCTAGCATACCCTTTTACTCTACGAGTATCGGGTAAAATAATAGAAGGGAAATCATATTTTCGTCAGTAAATGCATAAATTCGGTATCTATCAGCTTCTTTAAGTTTGTAATTTGTGCAAGGGTATGTAAGCATCGACTTTTCCAAGCTGTCTTCCTTTCATATTTTCCTTTGCAAAACGTAAGATAAACAACAACCAATTTATTTAACAAGATATTTACAGGATTCAAGGAGGGCAGCAAACTTAAATCCACTCAGGATATCGAGGAGTATACTATCGCAATAGGGGATTAGCCCCACTCAGCTGGACTTCTTGAGCTTCTGGGCCTGCTGCCGTTGGTCCCACCACGTGGCATACCACTTCGCGCTCCGCTCGGCACTCGCATCCGGATCGAAGAGTGGCGTGTAGTCCATGTGGATGGAGGCTCTTAGTCGATTGTACATCAGCATCGAGGACGCGTAGGAGGCGATGGCGCGCAGGGAGTACCGCAGGCGGTACTTGGTGTAGGGATACGCCACCCGCACCACCACCTCCAGCAGGAAGGCCAGGAAGAAGAACAGGAAGTGCGGCACGTACCACCAGCTGGTCTTCACCTTGAACCGCTCGCCCAGTACCGCCATCTTCTGGACGAAACGGGAGACATCATTGATGCCCGTATCGTCGGTGACAAAGACGGGAAGTCCATTCACCGCTTTATCGGACACTTTGAGGGCCTTATAGGCGCAGATGTGTCCCCAGGCCACATTCCCGGCGTAGACCAACTGCTGCTTTCCTCCCACCCCCGCGATCCTTGGGAAAACCCAACCCCTCGTGGAAAGGTAGTCGAAGATCTCCGTGATGAAGTGCGAGTCACACTCGCCATAGGTCAAAGGGGCTCGAATGGCGCTGGTAGCCAGGTATTCTGAAAAAGAACACAAATGTTAGTAAATAAACTATAAATTATTAATGAACTGTCGAACTATCGGTGCGACAATAATGCCTTAACATAATACAATTCAAGGTAGTTACAGATTTACAAATAAAGTGTGGTACCAAGTAAAGAATTTGCCTTAATTTCCTTATAGTCAACCTTCATCTTTGAGATAGCTAAGAAACTACCCTATTGATTCGTTTATTACAGCATATAATTGAAATCCCAAGATTTTGTTCAAGCAAACTTACCCTCCTGGTTGTGCAGAGGAGCTCCATTCGAGTTGAGGACTATGTTCTCTGCTCTAAGCTTGCTCGAAGCGTATCCGGGTATCAGGAACTGATTATCCTGCTCCCACAAAGTGGAGCTGTCCAGCGTGGGAGTGTCTGTCTTGGATTCCGTCGAGTTAATCACCGCCGAGAAGGTACTACGACCCTTGAAAGGCACAAAACAAACGGATGTGCAGCTGGTGTACACCAGGCGCTTCACGTTGTTTTGGATGCACATGTCGACCACGGCCAGGGTGCCTAGCAAAGGGAAGAAATAGTATACTTAATCAGAATGTCTTATAGTTTTGGAAATCTGCAAGTTGCGAAAGCCAACAGCGTAACTGGTACACGAAGTTGACTTCAAATCAAAGCATATTTCAACTTATTATAGTAAATGAAATTGTGCCTGGAATTACGTATCTTATGAGGTACTTTAGGCGCTCACTCACCGTTCACATTCACGCGCTCCAGTTCCTCGTAATTGGGCGGATACTCGATTTTCACCGAGGCGGCGCAGTGGAAGACCCCGTCCACTCCCTTGAAGATGGGACTGAGTGCCTCCCGATCGCCCCCAATATCGGCCACATAGGTGCGCAGTAGGGGTGTCTCCTCATGACCGATGTTGTTCTTGTAGGGCACTATATCCAATGACCGGATCTCTTTGATGCCCAGCTCCTCCTTCCGCTCCAGCAATTGCTTGATGAGGTGCTGACCCAGAAATCCACTGCCGCCGGTTACGAGCAGCACTTCCCCGCTTTTGTTGCCCATTGCGTCCGGGGTCAAAGTGCACTGGTTTTTGGTTTAACTGCAACGAGACCAACTGCAGGTTAGCTTTTGCCGGCTTAAGTGGTTAAGTGGAGTTTCCGTGAGAGTGGCTTTTATGGTCGGCGGCCCAATAAGCCCGGCCACTTGGACATCACACATAAACTGGCTCATCACCAGCCAGCGACCTTCTTCGAGGGTCAGCGGAGCAGGTTTCCGAGTGACTCGGCGCGTTTTCAAATGCTCGGCTTACGTGACGCTCCGCGACACTAATAAAGGCGGCTACTATAGCTACATATATGTATGTTTACTTATAATTCATAGTTGGTGTAATCAAAAGTCCCCTGATTACTGGAATCATTTGTTTTTACACTCAGTGTAATATAAGTTGGCTTTCACCTGTTGAAATGGGCTTTAAGTCGTTTGGTCGGACCCATATCTTTAGCTACTACACTCATAGAAATAAATTTTTGCACTTTTCTGCAAAAATAAAGCCCTAAATCTAAGTACGATTTTGTATTTAAAAACAAAATTTGTTTCAACTCAGTACAGCAAAAAATCAAAACTACGGATCATAATCGCGCGGTAAATAATTTTTTTCTTAATTTAAGTTGGGTTTTAACAATATACATATATGCTTTGCTCGGAGTAAATGATTTTTATTAATTAAACGAAAGAGGGAAATAAACTGAAGTGGTTTTGTAAATGTGAGAGATTACCTGGCAAAGCCTTAATTAAGTATCAATTATCTTTTATTGGTCAACTGCTGAGCTAACATAAATAAACTTAGTAATTAATTCATTATTTTCGGTTACCTTCTAATGCAACGCGACCTTATTTCAGTTGTTTTAATGGCATTCGCATTTTTAGAGTGCCAAAAATGACTGCTAACTTCATAATTGATCAAATAAAGACAGCTTGAATGCTGTCCGCCAAATTAGACGGTGATATGCAACTAGTTTCGGTGATAGAGGATGGAGGAAAGCCGAAGAAAATCGTATGCAAAGTGTGGTCGAGTCCATTGGCATATTCGCTCCATGGCTGTCGATTTCTATTTCCCCTTAGTGTGTTACTTGGCCACGGTCAACTTTTGTCTGTGTGATTTTATTAGAGCCCGTCCAGCGACTAAGGCCGTTTAGCAGACTGAAGACAACAACACACGGAAACTGAGATGCCTATGGTGGCAGCAGCAACAGCAGCAACATCTGCAACAGCCACATCTGCAGCAACAACATCGCCATCAGCAGCGCCAACTTACAATATATGGCAGCAGTCGCAACAAAAGAAAACATGGCTCAATGTGCTAATGTTTTCGCTGGACTGGCTTACAGATTACAACACAGCATCAAAACAATTACCGCGAACTGGTTTCCGCGTCTATTTCGACATCTCCACGTCAACACTCGGTTTTGGCATTTTGGCCTGGCCATTTCAAACACTCAGCCAATGGCACTTGTCCATCTAGAAGCCCGAAAGTCTTACTGTTTATGACTAGGGAACACCGCTTACCGGAAAAAGGTAGCTCTTTTTAGTGGGCAAACCTTTGGGCTTGCCTGCTGACTTGAAACTGCTTGTTGGCCATAAACAAAACTGGCCGAAACCGAAACGATCGTTGCCAAGCTACTTGGCTATCGCCATCGCCATCGTCATCGCCATCGCTGCTATCGATCGCAGTCATCGAGCTTTGGCGCGTGAAATCAAAAATAGGTCTTTCAACGGGCATGGCATTTGGTAAAAGGTAATTTTATTCAACAACAAGTAAATGAATGTGGACAGTAAGTACGCTTAGTGATTACATAAATAGTTGTCTTCTCTTCCCATGCATTTAGTGGGGTGCTTAGGCAATTGCAATATTCAATAAGTACAGTGGTAATTGTTTTCGTTGCATCTCATTCAATAACTTTCTATATCTTTATAAACTCCCTGGTAGATGTATAAAGTAAACGAGAAGTAAAGGCCGTTGATACAAATGACTTTGGATTAGATTAGGATTGGGCGCTCTTAACCATTAACCATTAACGAGTACGCGAAATACAATTACGGATATACAATTACGAATACGAATACAAAACGGTGTTTAGTACAATTAAAAATTCTGTTCACATTTCGGTTTGGTTTATTACAACAATATCATGTAAATGCCGATGTAGGTGCCCCTTCCGTGTGTACCTAGGTATATGGGGGCGTATTGGGGGTATAAACGTTGTAAGTACCGACTTTAAGTACCGATTGACTGCTGACTTGGTGGATTTCATTGCATCTTAGCAAACATAAATAAGGGCCATGGTATATTACATTAAATTACATGTACGAATAAACTATAATTATCTAGCAATTTCATTTAGTTACACATACACACACAATTGGTTTTCACAAACGTTTTCTGTTCTCAATTCTCGGCCTAATGCTATTTAGATGCATTTTGATGCATAATTGGAGTGACGTGAAGCGATGAACTCAGGTTCTACGTAATCGTAATTTAACATGAATGTTGATTGTGTACATTAAACTAGTTGTATGTATGTATATAACTCTCTGTACTGTATATAGCAGTAAAGTGTTTAAAGTATTGTATTGTATAGTATAGTATAGTATGCATGGGTATTATGGGTGTGCCGTTTCCAGTAGCAACATTTCCAACTAACATTATTTACTTCGCTATTACAAGTACGGTTCTTTATTAGCTATTATTGTTGTTATTGTTTCTGTCGCCGATCCACCGCTGCCATCCATCAAGGGTTTCCATTCCTGGTTTCCATTGCGCTCCCCGTCTCAGTAGGAAAGTGCTGAGGGCGAACGCGAGCCAACTGTGAAATCTTTGTACACCGAAAACACAGATATCTGCGGAAGAGTAAAAATATTGAATTAAAAATACACCCACAACTCAGTCGAGGACCCAGCGCATCAGAACCCGTTCCCTCATATTTGCCATACTTGTGCCAATCCCCATATTGGCCACTTTAATTGCCGACTTGCGTCACAGTCAAGAGCTGCAGCGTGGCCCTGGCAGTTGGCCAGCAACCAAATAAAACTTGGCGGCATCTTGTGGGTGCGGAAAATAGGACAGCATCTGTGGCTCTCCGCCGTTGGGAATCGCTGTGATATCATTTCAAGAGCAGACGCCTTATCAGTGCCGGCAAATTCCAGAAATAGCTTACTTTTGGGTGGGTGTTTTTCGCGTTGATATAATCGCTTGGGCGCCTAGTAATTGCTGAATACTTTTAAGCTATTCTGGCTCATGAATTATAGAACAATTTTGATCTGTTAAAGAGCCAGCTGTCGAAATATCGTGCTCATTACATTTGTTTGTGATATACCGAGCGAAAAATTTATTTATGATCAAATAAAATATTGAATTGATAAAAAGCTATAGCAAACCACACACATAACAGAAAAACATACTCATCTTGCTGTACAAAGCCCTGACAAAACTGTGGATAGTTAAAATACCCCTTTGAAAACACGCATTTTCTTTCTGTGTAGACAACAAAGATACATTTGTTATTTCTGTAGGAAATAATTGACTATTTCTGTGTATACTTCTAACCCGCTGTGAACAAGTATTCTGTTTTTGGTGAATGCGGGGAGCGAACATGATATAATACTCATAATTTCTAAATAAAAACTGACCATAAACCATAAACATACCATACTGGTGATGAATCTATTTCAAAATGAAACAATTCAAATATTTTATGGTACATTTTCAAATAGCGCTCATAAATACTTAAATACTTCTTTATTTGTCTTCCATTCGTGGCTGACCTTCTTTTCGTCCCTACCAATGTGTTGCTGTGTGTGTAGTCATACAAATCGAGCGTTCTTTAGCCCACTTCCGGTGCTTCACCTGCGACTCACCTTGTCTTTCAATTGCTGGCACAGTTTCTGGCCATTCATCAGCAGCAGTAGCACATCGTTTAGCCACTGGACAGAGGCCTCCGCCTGGCGGGAATCGAAGCGCATGGTGCCCTGGTTGTTCAGCAGCTGGTAGACGGCAATGATCAGCTTGTGGCTCTGCAGGTAGAAACTTACGGCCAAATCCTCGGGCAGATTGGGAACCAGCGACTTCATATTGCGCCCTTTGATCAGCTCATCAATGGGCTTCTTTTTGGGCACCAGCAAACTGTTTCTGCCCCGCTGCAGGGCATCCAGAATGTTGCCTATCACATGCAGCACTTCGTCGGAGGTTCTGTGGGGAGTTTATATGTGTATTATACGCGTATAAATACAGCCTCGGAGCGCAGATCTCATGCAAAACAAAACGTGACTCACTTGAAGTGATAAGAATCGTCGACATCGTCTATGTGGTTGATGGCGGTCTGCAGATGATTGGCCGCGTCCTGGACCTGCTGCAACTTCCAGGGCGAGTCATGTGTGATGGAGGTACGTTGCGTTTGGCTCGGCGCCTTACACAGCTTAAAGCTAATGTCCTGAGAAAGGAAATTCGGGATTAGCATACTTCGGCCGTTGGAAACTGATCGGAAAGTTTTCATTTGTTGCGCTCAGTTAAGTCATCAGATTAATTGAACAAATACGCATATTTATAATGGAAAGGTACACATGTCGTTTCAGCAAGAGATAAGGAAAATAAATATATTCTTAAATGATCAACAGCATGATTTTACTAGGCGTAGTAGTACGCTGAATTATAAAAAAGAAGAGAGACTTTAAGACTCTGATGTAAGACTTTCAGGGTAAACTGGGTGCAAATGATTTAATAGAGAGGTTACATATCTAACTTTTTGGGAAAATTGTGGTTTGAGAATAACAAACCGATGTTTTGAGTAACCTCTGGGGAATTTTGCTACATATGCTAATACATTCTAAAACTGAATCATCTCTATAAGAGCAAACTAGTTAAATGCTTGGGGGTTTTGCCCACCACTAAAAGCTTTTGGGATTTCTTCCAGTCGGTGGTTCCTGCTGGGTCTTATGTTCTGGGGTAGCTACTGGCACTTACAGCCTGGGTGATGGCATCGCCCGTTAGGGTCAGCACGGCCTTCAGCTGATCGGGCGACACGGTGAGTATGAACTTCTCAGTCTTCTTTCCCTCGTTCTCGTACAGGGGCACCGGAAACCGATGGGCGCATTCCTAGGAACACAATGTGTGGTGTGGTTAAAGGGAGTTCAAGGAAGCCAATCCGATCGGGTACTCACCACCAGAATGGTCCTCAGTTGCTTCAGTATCGCGTGTACCTCTTGGCGCAGCACCCACTCGAACTCAATTTGCTACGGGCCGCAGGGTAAAGTGGGTTGGGTTTGCATATTGTTCCGCGGTGTTCCGCATTTCGAATTTTGTGTTTCGGGATCCCGCCAGCCATAGATTATGTAGGTATGTCAGGCAGTCAGGCAGTCAGTCAGCAAGGCGTTGGTGGGTTTGTGTTTTTGCGATAGCGCCATCGAGCGAAGCACGTTCCGTGTACAAATCAATAACAGCGATGTGCGGGGGCGGTGGAAAGTCGGCAGGAAAGCAGGAAGAACAGAGCATCAGCGGCAATCGATAATCAATTAGTCAACATAGAGGGGTTCAATTAATCGTTTTTAATGCTGCTTTTTTGGCAGCACTTGTTATTGTTTTTGTTGGTGCGATGTCGTTGTCATGGACTCGCAATCGCAATCACAATCGCAATGCATTTTCAACGATCGGAAAACTCACCAGGTTGAGGGCTTCCTCACGCTCCGTGTCCGCGAGCATTTTCATCGCGCTTTTCGGCTTTTTCCGCGCTGCTAAGAATCTGCGCTTGTGTCCGCTTTCCGCTGCAGCAACGCCAGCAATTTGTATTGTGAGCGCTGTAATTTTTGTTTTTATTTCAGTTGTTGTTGTTTAATTGAATGCAGGGTTGCCAAGTGCCCAGCGGGCTGCAAGCAGCGCAAAATCCTACAAAAATACCGCTTTAATACTAAACCAGTCGCTACGGGCGCGACTTTCAAAAGTTATTGTCTTGTGCTGAAAGCAGATATTCTTCGCAGATATTGCCATCGACCTCAATTATTTAGGTTATTACACGCTATTCTACGTCAGCCGAAAAACCAACCACTATAAACCACAAAGCGAGAAAACAATATTTTGCTATTTAGGAATCTTACAAAAAACTGTGGTGTCTCTAATTGGATTTTTTGTGTAATAGGAAATTGCAAAAAAAATCATATTGACATTGGTATTCAGTATACAGCCCTGGCCGACCTGCTTACAGCACTGCTTCGCGTTACAGTGAGCTGTTACCTGAACTCTGTTAAAACGCCTAAATGTTGAAAAGGAAGGAAAATAAGCGAAAGTTAAATGATGATGAATAAAAGTGGTAAAGTAACAAAACGAATTCCTACGTTCAAAGTCCTAACAAGATGTAGATTCGGTTAAGCCACAAGATACCCCAAGAATGCTCCCTCCGCTCAGCAATCTCTGTTAGTTTCGCAGAACACTGCTTGCCAGGGCGCCAAATTCAAATGGCAGTATAAGCAAAAAAGCGTTACTTACGTTTTCTCGTGGGCGGGGGCGTGGTGAGCACGGCGGTTTCGGGCACCGTGTTGAGGACATGCTGAGGGTAACCGCTGGTGCTCCGCTGACGATGAAGTGGCTGGAACGACCAGTTGTTCGTGGTACTTCGAGAGAAAAAAAAATAGAGAAACATTCCATTTAGTTAGTCGCCAATTGCACGCGATTTGTTTGCCTTTTCGGTCGGACAATTGTGTTATTCGTTATCATGTTTGCGAGTGATTTCGGCTTGATTTGATTCAAAGTCAAGTGCTAATTGGTGGGCCATTGTTGTGACTCACGTCACAGCCAGCTGACGTCGGCGTCTGGTTTCGGCCGCTGGGCTGCAGAATTTTCCCGTATCGCCAGCTAAAAACCCAAGTCCCCCTTCAAAACCAACTGCAGCGCGTGTGGGCAATGGCTTTAGTTTTCAATCATGGCTGAAATTACAAAGGGCCACGAAAAAAGCGCTTATCAAGCGAACTTGACAAACGTCCAGATACTCGGAGCACCACTATTCACACACGCACAAACGTACAATGGCTTTATCAGGTCGAATTTTGTTTTATAATTTATTTGATAAGCCAATGTCAGAAATATGAAATGGACAAGAGAGCAGCGAGGTATCGATGAAAGGCAGGGGCCTCCTAAAAAGTTTATGCCATCATAAATTTTTATTGGCATGGCCATTGGCTGCGGCTTTGCCGCTTTTAACACGTTCACATTTCTGATTCTTCATTCTTGGCAGCACACACACGCACAGCGAGTCAGCAAATAAGCCAAAACAAACAACATTTTGTTACTGCTATTATATAAATAACGGTATAGCTAGTGCTTTCTTTACCTCTGCGGCATTCTGGATAGATTTCTTTATCAATCGCGGACCGCGAATCACGAGACACAGTGTCGCAAGGCGGAAAACTCGCGGATAGTTCGCTTTTCGGTGGGCCTTAATTTTTATTTATCTCCGCAGGGAGAGCCCCCAAAAACGTTGAATCGCGGTAGCGGTACGTGGTAGCGGTACGACGTTCGACGATCGACGCCCAGCGCTCAACTCAGCGTATAGCATACCATCCAAGTGACGAGGCCACTGCCAATGCTCGTTTTGTAGACTTGGAGTTAACGTGGTTAAGACGGAGCTTTCGGCCAGGCAGCTTTCTTCGGCCAGCTCTTCGCTGCGCCGCCAGAAGCTACAAGAAGCCAACTTCTTGCTCAGCCCAGCTCTCGGTAAGAGCATAATATTTATTTATTAATACGAAGTAAGAAATGTGGGGCAGTCCAAAGTGGCCAACTGATTATATACATGCACATGTGGGTGCTCTATGCAAACAGTAGGCTGATTAAAGCGGTTCGATATTATACTAGACAACTCACTAGCGAACTATGGAGAAAAGTTTTGAACTATATTTGTTTTAAAGGAACCTCTAAAATACAATCCTCTGAACTTATTAGAAAAACTGATACGAGTAATGATCAATTCTACCTACTTTTTCATTTGATCATAAGTTGGAATTCTCTATTATGTAGAAGTTTCTAAGGCCGCCTGTACTTATCATTAACTCAACAAACAAACCTGGTCATAAACTACATATTTAAATACCTCATTTTTTGTAAGCCAGTCAAAATAGAACAATGAAAGGCATAAAAAGACAACTATTTCACTGGGCGTTCCTTAAGCATAGCACAGCTTATAAATAAGTGTAAAGTTCTAACTTGAAATTCAATGCCATTTATAGAACTCCGTAGCCCTAGACAATACAAGTCTGGGCTAAAAATAAGTGAACTGCCTGTATAGATTTTATAGCTCACCAAAGAAACGCCTTTGTTTTGGTCGAAAGGTGCATATAATCGAATATCGAAATAGGCGGTGTTGTTTTTCTTTGGCAAGAGGAGGACTTCCCAATCCGACAACAAAATAATATAAACACAATTTGTCGCTGGGAAGAAAGCTGGTGACTAATTGCCAGCCCATTAATTCAAAGTTTTAGCTGCTCGGCGAATCTCGCCAAATCCAGTAAAAGTATAAATAACACCCATATAAGGAAAATAAACAGAACCGTGCAATAAATGCTGCGAAATGATGCACATATTTCAAGACTGAATAAGATTTACGGCGCCTCCAGTGCGGAAAGTACACTCTGTTTACTCGCATTATCAAAGGGAAATATATGGAGGTGTTTGTTTGGCGGCAAAAAGTAATCCAAAATCAAATGAAAACAAGAGTGGACTGTTTGGGTTTTTTTGCCATGGCATAACATTTATTTTTTCGCATACACAGTATTCCGTTGCTCTTTTAGTATAAAAAAGTAGTACAAAAGTTCTATTTCTACTCGTGTTTGGCATTGTCAAACTGAAGTACGTGGATTTGTTTGCTCCCGAAACAAAAAGTGGTGAAAATGCAAATAAGAAGCGAAACAAGTGTGCAAATAGGAGCAAACAAACGTGTGCCCAACAGGTGTGTGTGTGTCTGTGTGTAGAGTGTGCATGTGTTTGTTTTCTTTTTTTTGGTAGTGGGGAGTGGGTGGGTGGTGTTTTCCAGCGGGTGGTGGGTGGCTGAGTGGGTGGCAGACGCAGTGCGTTTATTTACTCGCCAGTCATCATCTCCATGAATTCTGTAAATTAAACAAAATGACAGACATTAAACCGATGCCACCGAGCCAGAGCAACCGCTATATACAGTTATAAATAAATATTCCATAAACACGAAAACCTAATGTACGATATGTAAATACGTATTCCGAGAATGAAAAATGCGTGTGGAATCGAGTTTATGTGTCGCGCCTAAAAATAGCGACCGATATGCTCCATGGGAGCGGTGATCAAGCTGTCATAATCGAGCGATCGCGCGATCTCAAGATCATCGAAATTTATGATCACTATATGCGCCAATGTGGGTGGATGTGGGTGGGTATGTGGATGGGGATGCGGATGCGGATGGAAAGCCACTAGAATGTATTAATATCAATACGAGCATGAATGGCCACTCACCATCGAAATCCACTGTACCGGAACCATCCGAATCGATCTCCTCGATCATGATGTCCAGCTCCTGCTCGGTCAGCTGGTCGTCCAGCTCCTTGAGGATCTCCTTCAGGCAGGTGGTGGGAATGAAGCCGTTGCCCTGCTTGTCGTACAGACGGAACGCCTCCCTCAGCTCCTTCTGCATGGCCTCCGCGTCCTCCTCCACGATGAACTTGGCAGCCAGCTGCACGAACTCGCCGAATTCCAGGCGACCGGACTCTGAAATGTGCCAAATATTCGACGTATAATTAGCTGAAAAGCAACTGGAAAGCCACCAGCTAATGATGGGGTCTCAAAACGGCTATGATGATCATAAATCAATGACAGCGTGTAACTAAAATATAATCATCGTTCGATGCTGAGTCATCTCTGATTTGCCGTAATTACCAGCTAAAGTTGGAATATACGAAGCTTTTCCCATTAATATACTAATTTATTATTTGTAGCTCTACGATCAATGTTGTTTTGTTAGCTTCTCCGATTAAATTTATGTAGTAACTAATAATTTATTTGGGTTTTCCACTTGTAACTTTATATTTTCTCAGCTCTTAGCTTCGTTCAACTTAAATTGAAAAACAAATTGTATTTATAACTACACAATTCGATAAAACGAAAAAAACGATCAACGAAATTGGCACAAGTGTACACATGTATATTATTGATGCATATCCCATTTTGATTTTGTTTCGTTTTATAATAACTATATACCACATTTATATTTTGAACAACTTGGTGCACAAATTTGGGAGGGAATTAAATTAAATTAAATATATGCCACTCAAATTTGGTTTTAATTGACAGAAATAATGCATCTTTTCAGATGAGAAATGTTGTCTATTTCAAATGGAATTCATTAAAATGTAGATACACTCGTAAATAAAATTGTGTTTAACCACTCAAAATTTCGCACCAGGCGCTCCTAATCTCTAATATGTGGAGTAAATATATCGTTTACTTACTGTCCTCATCGACCTCCTCGATCAGTTCCTCCAGGATCTTCTTGTCGAAGGGCTGACCTGCAGTTCCAAAAGCATAAGTACAGCCATATACACTGGACATCCCAGTCCCAGAACTCACCCATCAGGCGCAGGATGTCGGCAACCATCTCTGTGGGGATCGAGCCAGTCTTCTGGTGATCGAAGCTGTTGAAAGCCTTCTGGAGCACGGCGATCTGCTCGGGGGTAAGATCTTCATCCTGGAATAGGACGCATGGGTATAGTCAGCGATAGTCCTTTGGAACGGGAATTATCTTGGATGCTTACGACGCTGCTCATGGTGCTGCTGCTTTTGGGGTTTGTATGCCAATAGGATCTGTCTGATCAGCCTAATCTCACGAACCGATCGTCACGGAGTATTCGTTCCAACTGCGATGCTGCGCGGATGCGTTTTCCAAAATATAGACCAGCATCGGTGAACTTGCCACGAAAAAGCGGAAAAACACGAATACGGCCGATCGTTGGAGTATATGTAGCGTTTTTCCACGCCGCTGCCTCAATTTTATTGTTTTTTAGAAATAACTGTAAAAGTGCGATGGGAAAAAGCGAAAATAAGACGCGATCGGAGCGTATCCCGCCGCATTCGCTGCCGGAGACTGAACACGAGCCGTATAGTGGTTTTCCACGGCCACTGATCGCTTGTTGGATGGAGCATCCCATCCATCCAGTGGAGCGGCATGGCGAGCCGGAGGGGGAGCCATGATATCTGCATACATATGTGCGCCAGCCAGCTATAATGCGATGCGTTGCGCTGCGATCCCCGCGCCCCAAGTGTATGAACAACACGATCGGTGTATATACATATACATATATTGGATTCCTTCACCAGATGGAGAAATCCCCACTGGAGCAATGCCCCATCCAGTTTGTCGCCGGAGAGCGGAACGTGGGCTGCGACGGTAAGGAATGTTCTGCCCTCATTCATGAATTGGTCGACAAGTTCCCATTTTCTTTGTCCGGCTCCACGAATCCACTGGATGTTCCATTGTTCAACTGTCAAAATCAATATTTGATATTAATGAAATATGTATATTTTTCGAAAGCAATTCATGGGCATGTATTTATTTTAAATATATGTATATATATCCATGTCAAACAAAAGACCCTCTTAAGCATTCAGATATCAACTGTTTAGATATGTTCTTACATTCGACTCAATAAATACCCCATATTCGAAATTCACATTCCCCACGCTGTATGATTTATGATTAATTGAATTCAGGTGGAAATGATTCAAGGACACTTAAAAGACGCTTTAGCACAGACAAATAAAATAGCGATTTTTCATTAAGATACATCCGCTAAAAGCTGGTTTTTGAATTAACTTAACCCGTTTTTTTTAGTTTTCCTTGGGCTTAGAAAATAGGGTTTTGTGTGGATTTGTGTTTGGATTATGCACAGGATTTTTTATAGACAGAATATCAGTTATTGAAATTAATAATAGTTTAGGCAATAATAAAAGGTACATCGGCAGCGGATAAGGAAATAGTTGTTAACGATAACGAAATACAAAATAGTTTTCTAGCTGACATTGATTTTAAAACTGATGACTCATGGCCGAACCCTTCTTCCATAAACATTAAAGAAACATTCTTAGCACACTTAGTTTAAGAAAGTTTTAGTTCAAAAAGTTTAATTTAAAGAAGATTCAATTTTTAAGTCACATCTAAAACCAAACAGCTTTTTGGTGATTTTTAAAAACCGATATGCAAACCGGTTATCGGTAGTTGAAGCGTGTTTTGGTCTGGCAGCTAACTAGGCGGCGTTGCCAGATTGATTACACAGCAATGGTTCGCATAAAGAATAGGTAAATATTGACCGCATTGTCTTCATCGTTTGTTAATTAAGCCGTTCGCAAACAGATATATAGCGGTCCAGATTGTGCCCTATACGCCCACACAATCTCTGCGTCTCAACGACCACAGCCTGGCCAAAATCCTACTTCAGAATGTGGAGAAGTATCACGGAGCGTACGGCCTCGCCGTGATCGAGCAGGGATTTCGAGTAAAGTACATCAACGATCGGACGAAAATAGCAATCATACGTTGTCTTCATCGAGGCCAACACTTTGTGTCCAGTATATTGCCACTGATAACTTTGGTTGGTCTCATTGATATGTCCTTAAACCAGCATTAAATGTGCCCTTACTTCTAGATTGGAGATGTACGGGCCAAGTTTAGGACCCTCTACATTGGTGCCACCATCATCCAATGCAACAAGTTCATAGTCAAGCACCAAAAACAGTTCCTGGACCGCGTCATGGGCCAGCTAAACTCTGCCAAGGAGCGTCAGGATCTCTTCAAGAGCGTAATGGAGTTCGACATGGACAGATAGCATATACTTACATATGTAGTTTCTTTAGAATGTAATTAAGTAATTATATTACATGGTTTTCTTGTAGAAGAACCATGCATCCGATTCGACTAAAATTTAAATATTTTTGGTATCGTTCTAAACTTCGATAAGGAATTTGCGACTCGGTGAGCGGGCAATCTTGGCTCCAAATTGCTTTAGTTTCTGCCGGATGTCGGCCAACGTCAACTTGTTCCTCTTGCTGTAGACATTGAGATATATTCCAAGGACAACAATGAGGCCAGACCACACATATCTGAAAATTTGAGATACATAGGTAAAATACAGCTTTATCATTTCAATTTTACAGATACTAACTGTAAGGTAAAGGGCTTGCTGAAAAGCACAAATGAAAAGGCTATGGTCACAGCTTTGCGTGCGGTGGTTACTGTGGCAGCTATGGGAGCACCACTACTCCTCACCAGAGCCAGCACAAACTGAATGCCCAGATAGCCGGACAAACTGAACAGGAAGCCAAAGCCAAAAGTCTCACCGGGATGCTAAAAGAATACAATTTAGATCTCTTACATGAAGAACCTTTTATATAACCCACCTCCAAGCAGAAGGCAAAACCGCTGAAGAAGTTGCCGGTAACCAGCATAATCACAAATAGGTACACAAAACCCAAGCCGTATGAGTAGAACACCACCTCACTGCTGGGCGCCTTAAATTCCCGCATCGCTTTCTCCTGGACATTTCCAATGGCTGCGTCGCAGAGCAGAGCTCCCGAAATCATGGCCACGCCCAGCAGATTGAAATTGGGTGTCATCTGGGAGTCGGCCAGCGTAAACCAGGCCAATCCGATGCACATGCAGGTGGCTGCCGCAAAGTCCAGCAGTCCGTAGCGTTTACCCTGTATGAGAATGCTGCCCACCAACACGGGAATGAGTTTACAGCACTTGAAAATCACTTGGGTGGGATAATTAAGGTAGCCGAGACTTGAGTTGGACAGACCCATAGTACCCAGTGTAAGAGCAGCCAGAATTAGGTATGTTCTCATGGGAATGCAACGTGGCTCCGGCTCAATGTTCCAAAAGGAACCACCGCTTATCCGATAGCCCTCTAACCGCCGCTCCACCAAGCCGAAGCCGATGTAGTAGCCAAATTGGACGAGTGTGAGGAACCATCCGTAGGGCTTGAATCCTTCCACGGTGAAAATCAGCTCCTGCAGATAGCCGTACAGGATGTACAGGAAGAAGACGCCGGCACAGCTGAGCAGGAACTGGGTGGTGCGATTGTAGTAGGTGAGGTCAAAGCAAAGGATTCGCAGTTCCGGTGGGGATTCCGACGTCGAGGACTTCCGCTGCAAGGGCGGCGAGCTTCCCGCCGATTCGCCGCCATTAATGGTGATAACGCTCCCCTTATTATCTGTCATTCTGCTGCTCGCGGAAGGGTGTATATACATACATATACACACTATATAGTGCCTTTATCAAGAGTAATATTGGAGGGAGCCCGTGTAATTTAATGCCACGCTGTCCGCGGAGTTGTCGGTTTAATGTGCGGACTTGTCATGCCTCCTCGGATGCTGCATTAATGACGGGCAGGCGTGGAGATTGTTTTTTAGTGCAAGCTGCTCTGGCTAAATATATGCACTTGCTTTGTTTACCACGAATAAACTATTTTTGTCAGCTTGGAACGAAGATAGTCGCGTGACGTTGCCACCTCGTTTTATTAAACAAAGCTAAAAGACCGGTACAACGGTTGGCAACTGCTCCTACCGGCATTCTAATTGGCACTACTGCTACTGATAATAGCTTTGTTTAACAACTGCGCAGCGGAAACTCGTAGTCGTTTATTTACTGAGAAAAACGTATAAGACGAGGGAAAAAACGCTTTTAAAGTAGTGCCTAGGGCGACCTATGGTATTTGACTATTTGTTATTCTGGATATGCAAAGATATGGGCACACTATAAGAAAAAACAAGAAGAAGCAGTGAAAAGTGCCGCTGGAAAAGTGCAAAAAGTTATGAATTTAGAATTTTACCTAGAATAATAGTGCTAATAACAGTCGCAAAATGGATGTGCAACCGCCACGTGGTAAGTGCTTAAATTCAAAAGTGCTGCATATAACTTCAGATTGAGCAAATTGTGTTGTATTGGCACGCACGCATACACACACAAGCGCACGCACAACCTTTGATATGCTCACATTTTTTGCAAAAACCGTTTTCTTTCTTTTTACAGATGCTAGTTTACGAAATATTATCGACAAACTGGCGGAGTTTGTGGCCAGAAATGGGCCGGAATTCGAGGCCATTACCAAGCAGAAGCAGCAGAACAACCCAAAGTTCGAGTTCCTCTACGGCGGGGAGTTCGCCAGCTACTATAAATTTAGGGTGGCAGCGGAACAGACTCGTAAGTGCGATCTAAATTGGTGGCAAATATCCCTTATAATCTGCATTTAACACCCAACACAGTGCTGAAGCAGCAGGCCATTAACCAACAACTGCCACCAGGTGCTCCATCCGGTCACTACATGCAACATCCGCCGCCAATGCAGCAATCCCAGCCACCGGTGCTCTATCCGCCACCCAATCAGCAGCCACAGCACCCGCCGGAAAGCGCACAAGACAATATGCAACCGCCATCACAGCACTCCTGGCCGCCAAACTCTGGTGGACCGCCAAATAATCAGCAGCCCAATGGCAATGCCATGGCCATGAATCTTACGTCCCAACTGGAAACCATCAAGATGCAGCAGAAGACGCTGCGGGAACAGATCCAGCAATCCGAAGCGAATCTCTCGGCACAGCACACGGTAATTTAACGTTGACAACAACTGGGGTACCTCTTTACACCTACCTTTGCAAACATTCTTCTGAGAGATTAGAGCAGCTCGAGTGTGTAAAGATAAGATTTCAACATGATTTCGATACCGGGGACTATGTTGAATGTTGGCCTCTTCTCACAAAAATTCGCAGAAGCGAATTAGTTTCCTTCTTAAATTAATTCCCCACCAAAATGTTGCTCTGAATATAAAAACCTTTTTGCTTCTTAGAATTTTGATCGCCCCTTTAAACGACCCCATCGATTGTGAATTTTCGCTAACATATAGTTCAAAGTGTGCCGTTTACGAGAACCTCGTTTATAAACTACATTGCTGTGAAATATTTTCTTCTGGGAAAAGATTACTTGTATGACCACTAGTTATTTTCGGAATGCAATAATTTCCAAGAAATTATCTTAGACTGACAGAATTATATTATCTGGTATTCCTAAAATTTGTCAACAAATGTTTAATATTAATCATCATGGACAAATAATACGCCGATACTACTGCTTTTGTGAACTTTTCACTCTATAAGTACTCTAAGCCAAATTAGTCTTAATAAGGAAGACTTTTGTTATTGCTTGTCGCTATTGAATTTCCATGCATTGGAAAGGATCATTCACTCTAAGCCTTAAATTTGTTTCTTATGGACACCACAAACGAAACCCCGAATACCTGAAAATATTCAATACTTCTCGTCCCTTTTCTAAATGTTCTTTCAATTGATCTACTCAGTCCTTGTTCTCCAAGTGCGGATAAGATTAAGTTACAGTGTACTTTCAGCATTACCAAACTAAAATCTATATTTGTCATTATTTTTAATATTTAATTAACAATTTACAATGCTACATTAAATTTTTGCTTTATTGTATTTTTTGAAACATAAACCAAAAAAAAAAAATTACCAAATCAAACCACTCTTCATACCAACTGACAAAACTGTATAAAAACCAAAAAACAAATCCCAAAAATCAAATTTGTTTGAAACGCTTGTCGACTTGAATACGAAATATGAATCGCAAATGCGAATATGAATGTGAAAAAACCTTTGTGTGCCCAATGACCAAACCGATCCGATCCGAACCACACCAACGCATGCGATCCAAATCGCACCATCACCAACCAACCAAATGAAACCAACCTGTAGGCCCTGATGAACCAGAAGACAAAGCAGATCGAGGATGCAATTGCGGCGGCGCAGACGGCGCAACAGGAACAGATGGCTGGAGAACAGGGCATTGTGCTGAGGGACTTCGATGGCGTTCTACAGCCGATCATCGAGTCCTGCACCAAGGACAGCATCTCTGCAGGTAAATATGAGTTCAGCGGACTGGCTGGATTACATTATTGCTTGTTTGTAGTCTCGTAATCAGTCATAAGTTAGCTTATGGAGCTGATTTTTGATGCTCCGCAGCCTTGCTGCACACAAAGCGCACACTAAATGAATCCATACTACTTTTTGATTAATCCTAAACCTAATTTATTATCGCCAGTGACAATGACAATATGAGTAACCCGTTTGATATTGCAATTTTAGGCAAGAACTGGATTTTACAGCATTCAACCGACAGCGCAAAAATCAATGTCGTTTTACAATATCTTTTAAAGAAGTATGCCTCAGTTTTATACCTAATGACCTGCAATATGTATTAATTAAATTGTGTTTCTTTCTTTCAACGAGTGAAATACTAACCAAACATACAAAAATGAAAAATCGAAAAACAAGCGAAGATGATCGATTGAGCGATTGAGACTCCCCCAGAGAGGCTCCATATTGATTCGTTGATTCGTTTTCGAAAGATGTTATGATCATGAGTAGTTCCCAGATCCGGAAGTCTTATAGCTAGGGCCACACACCTATACAACTCATTTTACTTAATAAGTTTAACCTTAACACGCACAACAACACACCAACACTTAACAGTGATAATCATCGGACAAAAAAAAAACAAAAATACCAAAAAGAAAGAAGATTAACTAACAAAAATCATTATACTTGCACAACAAGTACTTTTGGCAATGTTGTTGTGCATACAGAAAACTAGAAAAATATGTTTTTCGTTTGTTAATTTATTTTTAGGGCTTTGGTCAATGGTTCAACGTTTCAGCAAAAATTGCATCTTATATATTTAGTTAATGATATACTCCATCACTGGTAAGTTCGCCCAGTCAATTATTAGTATAGTATAATATTTAAGGGCCATAGACCTCCATAACTAACCCACTGAGTAGTAGCCCTACTTTGAGGGTTAGTTTATGTGGACAACGCTGACAGAATTGGACTGAACCTTACCACTGGACCGACTTCTGACAGCAGACCTAGACTTTAGAGTAGCTAGGAGATGAGACCTAAGTGCAACGATGTATTTACAGCATGCGCAAAAACATCAATGACTTGAAGAACAGCCTCGAGAACGTCGTCATTCCGATGTTCTGCAGCGCCGACTTGAGTATGTATTTTCCCTTCGATCCATTGGTTCGGATTTCTAATAGTGTTATCCTCACCCACAGTTGCCAACAACGACCAGCGTCAAAAGCTGGCCAAGCTGCTGTCCCTGTGGGAGTCCAAGGCGAAGTTCTTCGATGCTTGCGTCATATCGAAGCTTCAGTCACCGGACTCGTCAATGCAGGAGTACAAAACCAATCTGCAGAACACACATCATGATATAACAGCCAATTTCACGCAGAATACAAACGCGACTCTGGATAAGTAAGTAAAAGTCCCAGAACATAATAAAGCACTGATGAACTTTAACTCTTCTGTTTCAGCTACCAAAAACAGCATCAGGTATTCATTCAACACGCCAGCCAGCAAATTGCCCAACTCGATAAGCAGGCGCAGCATCTGGAACAGCAGATAGTGGCCCAGAAGTCCCAGCAGCAACATATGCTCCAGCATCAGCAGAAGAACATTCCATCGCTGATGTCCCACCGAATAGCAATGCCGGGTGATCATGACCACATGAATAGCCAGGGGCCGCATGATCAGCAGCATCCTCAGGCGGGAAATAATATGTATCCAGGTGGTAACTTCCAGCAGCAGCAACCTCCGGGAAATCCGTTTGCGGATCCGCGGGGACCGAACTTCTTCATTCCGGACATGTCCAAACCACCACCAGGCTTTGCCGGACCCATGCACCATAATCAGGGCCCAGCAATGGGTCATCAGCAGCAGCAACCACAACCAGGACAGTTTCCGCAATTGCAGGGATCTGGCAATGAACAACCTGTTGATCTTGGTGTTCTCAGTGCAGCAATTCAGGCGTGCTTACAGATGCAGCAGCAACACCATCCTGACGACCCTCAGCAGCAAGGACAGCACCAACTGCAGCAGCAGCAACAACAGCAACAGCAGCCGCCACCGCCAATGGCTGCCTATCCCCAGAATATTGTAAGACCTGTCCAGCAAAATGCTGATGCCGAAGTGGACCTGGATGTGCTCAATGCGGCCATTCGCGCGGTCATAACCAAAAAATCCGAAGAGGGTGCAGTGGAAGATGGCCAGCAACCACAGAAATTGGTCGACGGAGAATCTGGAGATCCTGTTGTAATTGGAGAGCCACAAATACCTACAGCACCTTACTACGACCTGCCAGCGGGCCTCATGGTGCCTCTTATTCGTCTGGAGGATTACAACTACAAAGCCCTCGACCCGGCGGATATTCGACTGCCAGCTCCAGCGCCACAAAGCGAGCGACTAACAAATGCATTGAATGCCTTCTATTCCGCACCCTCCCACGATCGTCCAAGGGATAAGTAAGTATTTCAATTGAATCTAATTCAGCGTTACTTATAAAGGGTTTTATCTTGCAGTGAGGGTTGGGAGAAGCTTGGTCTCTATGAGTACTATAAGGTGAAGAATGCGGCGCGAAAGCAAAAGGAGGAGGAAATCAAGGACGGCATACGAGAAAAGTCGCGTTCGCCCAGTCCGATTGTGCTTGAGAAACCCCTACCTAAAAAGAGCAACAAGCGAGTTTACCGGTGAGTGTTTAATTTACAATACTTTTAAACAACAATATAAGAAATTTACCCTTATTTTCCTGTTCAGATCCAAGAGTCGCAGTCGCTCCCGCTCAAAAACTCCGCCCCAGCGAGACAGATCAGCCACACGCTCCAGATCCCGGTCGCGATCCATGGAGCGCTCTTTAACGCCGCCACCGACGAACCGAAACAGGTCAGGCGGTGGTAGCCACCGCAAGGGTCGCCATCGATCTCCTCGCCACGAGCGGGACAACAGCGGCAGCACAAATAGCAATCGTGAGAGCCGTGGTGAACGCAGCAATTCCAACAGCAGAGACAATGGCAACAGCATCAACCTAAGACGTGTGGATCGCGACAGATCTCCAACCCCTCCGAGCTTTCTGTAAGTGTAAAATGCGAAGTCTTCTGTTGATATACCATAACTATTAGATCCGTGGTAAAAGCATGGCTGTAGTATAATGGTATTTTATGGCAGTCAGACCAATGAGTTATATATCTTTCACCAGGGGAAGCACCTTTGCCAAGCCCGCGGAATTCATCGAGGAATCAAACAAGGGCCACCAAATGCTCATGAAAATGGGCTGGGCGGGCACGGGCACTGGACTAGGCTCAAAGAATCAAGGCATCGACACGCCCATTTCGGGTGGCGAGGTGCGCGATCGTCGAGAAATGTACAAGGTGAAGTGGCAAGATTGCGCAAGAAAAGACAATTTCTAATTTCTTCTCCATAGGGAGTGGGTGCGAATATGCACGATCCCTTCGAGAGCTTTCGCAAGAACAAGGGAGCTGCTTTCGCGCACCGGATGCGATCACGAGACGACAAGAGTTAGGGTCCGCCAACGGTCATAACTTCCCCGTTTTTTGTTTCCTTTAGCCCAGAAAATATACATTTTTATAAAAGCAAACTGCATTTTTATGCGAGGTTAGGCTATAACATTAAAGCTGGATTGAGCGGCTTTGGCATTAACTTTTTCCAGGACCTGGACCAGTCCCTTACCAGGACCGCACTCAAAGGTGCGCGGAAAGTCGACGCCCTGCTTGCGCTCGTACATCTCGTGAAGGGTCTGCTCCCACTTGACGGGCCGTACGATTTGCTTGGGCAGCTGCGTTAGGATGTGCTTGGCATGGCGATACGGTTTGCCATCCACATTGGAGTATACTCTAATGACGGGATCCTGAAGGCGCACCGATTTCAGGGCTTTGGTAAAGGGCTCCACGGCGCTTTGCATTAGAGGAGTGTGAAAGGCGCCGCTCACAGCCAATCTCTTCAGCCGCCGGATCTTGAGGGCCTTGGCATTTTGTTCCAGGAACTCGAGAGCCTCTACGTTGCCGGCCACGACCTTGCAGTGGGGATACATGTAGTTGGCGATGCCGCAGTAGGGCGACTCCACTCCCTTGTCCAGACACCATTGCTGCGCTCGCGCACACGCCTCTCCCAGATTGGTGTCCGGTCCGTAGAGGGTCATGGCCATGGCTCCCGCTGCCTGGTCACATGCTGCCTGCATGGCGGTGGCCCGCACCTGCACCAATCGCAATGCCTTGTCAAAAGGCAGGGCATCCGCATACACCAATGCGGTAATCTCGCCCAGACTGAAGCCGGCGGCGGCCACACAGCTTTCAATGGCCTTGGGTCGCTCTTCACGCAACTGCTCCAGGGCTGCCAGCGAGGATACCATCACAGCCAGCTGAGCGTGCTCCGTGCGATTCAGTTTCTCACGTGGTCCCTCCAGGCAGATCTTGAGCAGATCGTATTTAAGCACCTCGTTGGCAAGCTCGAAGATGCGGCGGGCGCCAGGGAATCGGAGAAGCTCCTTGGCCATGCCCACATACTGGGTGCCCTGACCAGGAAAGAGCATCACACTTGTTTCCTTGGGATCAATGGCGGGTCGGCTTTTCTGTTCCAGCGGCTCGGAAAGCTCATTGAGCAGTTGCTGGCGCTTCGCGTTATCCGAAAGGGCGGAGGCTTCTGTGGTGGCCTTTGCGGCATCGCTGCTCCAGCGGGACCAGCTTAAGGTACCAGTAATCCGCGGTGATCGTAGTAATTTGCGGGCGGCCAACATTTTTGTTGAAGGAGTTCGCGGCATAACATAACAGCTGATTAGAGCTGAAAAAATATGGATAATCGATAACGAAAATACAGCAATCGATAGTTTTAGTACTTCAACCACATTTAGTACATCTTAAAATTTGAATTTTGGCGGTTTATGCTCTAAACCAAAACGTTCTTAAAATATTGGGAACAACCCCTTGATTTAAATAAATCCTAATTGGTAAGTCCAACAGCATCGAAATTACTTTGTATTTCATAATTTCTTCAAGTAGCTACTATAAACATAAAATTTATACAGTGGCCAATTGGAATTAGGTTGTATGAAAAAGATAAAAATTCCTTTTTTTAATTCACTTGACATCTTAGTCATGGTCTGCGGTCTTTTGCCACTATTTATAGCCAAACTTGATTTATGTTGCTAGGCTCTCATTTAGCCATTAATGGTCATGGCGAAATAATGTTGGTTGTATATTCATGAGTCACTGGCTACTTCACATAGAAATTTGAGTCGAGATTTTATTTGGGTCCAAAGCAACAAAGTTATGATCCCGATGTTTTATTGATCGTTTATTGATTTTTTAGCGACTATTAGTATGCATAATTCAGAGTTTATTGACGTCAGCCGTTTTTTATTTCAGACAGTATTAAATAATTATAACTATGAAAATAAAAATGCAAATAATGTGCAGAAGATTTGTATGTTCAATAGTCTGCCCTTATTACAGTCTCTTAAATACGCATATAAATATTAAATCTCTGAGTTAAAAAAAAAATTTTAAAAGATACAAGCTCTTTATATGATATTAAAAAGACATAAATCTTAAACCCTGCCAAGACAAAAGAGTATTTTTTGGCCGTGTGCTATTCGGAACCCCCGAAATAAGAGTTTCTAATTTGAAATGCGATACCAGCGAGGCAATCGCAGAGTTTTTTGAACCCAAGGCGAAAGAATAGCCCTCCGGCAGGCCGAAAGAGTTGGCAGAGGACTTGGCTGCGGATGAGGATGATGATAGGGGAGGATGGGGATGGGGATGTGGATGGCAAAGGTGAACGACAAAGCCGCCGGCAAAGTCAGACACCGGAGATGACGTGACGCACCACTTTCGCCCTCAGTTCAAGGAACAGGAGATTTGGGCATCAAAACAAAAACACTAGCTCACACGCTCTGCCAGCGGTCCTCCAGTGTCCAGTGTCCCTTGTCCATCCGCCCATGGTCCGATGCGATCTTCCCAGAAGACGGAGCGACATTCCCAGCTCTTTTCTTGTTGCCATGGAAAGGACCCACCAGATATGTGTACCAATGCTCGTCTAGACTGCACGAATATCAGATCGTCGATGGACCGGCGATTCTATTAGAAGCAGAACCTGTTTGCGGTTTATACTCCGTTGGGTTGTGTTGTATTTCGGCTGTTGTTTTTTTTTTTTTCAAGTCCAATTTTTGTTTTTTCTTTGATAATGAGTCGTGGATTTGATGCCCAGGTAGGGGCATTCGACGGAGATCGTTGACATGGCGCAAGTGGCGCGGTTCTTGAAATCAGGTTGTGAAATTGTATTTATGAATGAGAGCCCGTGGCGCGCCAATTAAAGCCGCATACCAGAAAGAGTTTTATCCACAGCCAGCACACATTCCGAACCCAAGTCGGGGTTCCCAGAACGTGCCCGATACCGTTATTTGTGGCCGATCGGAGCGACGAGCGCGGGAATGCACATTCCGAAGGATACGTGCGAAATGTGGGGGAAATGCAACTGCGTCGCAGCATTGCGCATACGCCACGGGGGCCGGCTAACATTTCCGCATGCGGGAATGCAACGAAAGCGAAAAGCAAGTGGTAAAAAAAGCATAACCAAAACGGATCTGGAAACGAAACCGAAACTGAAACCGAACCCGAATCAGAATAAGAATCCGAATCCGAATCAGAATCAGAAACGTAACAATCTGAACCCATAAAAAGTCGGCCGAAAGTGTGCATTGACCGAGAGAGCGGCTAAAAATACCCGAAAAAGAACGTAACACAAACGATCTGATAAAATAAGAACGTACGCTGATGACGCCCGGTCCAGAACAACCGTTAAGTGCTCCCCACCCCAAATGATGCTGCAACAAGGTGAGCGAAAGAGAGGGCCAGAGCGCTTCCGAAAGAGATGGAGGCAGAGCCGAACAAAATCGAGAGTGAAAGTTCTTCACTTTCGCTTATACGAAAACCAGCAATTCTAGAGGTACAAGCCTTTGAAAATAATACTTCACTAAAAGTTCGCGAAAATCGTATAATTCACTAAGTATTTTTATACATCCAAATTATGTGACATGCGCTTCATGCTGATAATCTTTTCCCTTTTCATTCATTTTCACATCACTTTATGTACAAGCTAAGATTTCTATAACCTAATTTGTTTAAAAATTGATTTTTAAAGCCTTTGAACGGTATGCCCACTATATGAAGACTAAAAATTAGTGTTTATTTCTTCCTACAACCAGTTTTTAAGAAATGTTATGTTATCAATTAAAATCAAGTTGGCTAAAACACCATGAGGTACATTTAAATATTATTCAATATACAAATATTTCTTAGGCTTTCAAATATCTCAACTTTCCATTGCTCAACGAACCTGTCATTCTACACTTCTAAGTTGTTTTTAGTTGTTTTAGAACAACTTATAGTAAACAGTAGTAGCTAAACCACTGAAAAAGAAGGTCAAGTCATATATGTTCATAGATATTTTTTTAGCATGTGCAATTATAGACTATTGAACTTGCTTTGAGAGACTATTATAAAGAAAGATTAACATTTCTCTGCCGCCTACTAAAGGTAAAAACCGATCAGTTGGTTTTGTTAATGCCAATCGATGTTGTATTTCTTGAGTTCCAGTAGGAAACGCCAGTCACGCGCAGCAATATTTTACATGCAATATTTGAATTGTTTTATGGGTCTAGTAATCTTGTTTATTTTGTAGAAATCTTGTTTCTTGAATCCCCATAAATAAGCAATCGTTAGAAGCGGCTACAGCGTGCGCAGCTATCAAGAAGTGCGTTGCCCTGGTTGCAAAACCCCCGGCGACAAGGTCCAAGTTTTCACTTTCACTGCCACCATCGGCCGTCAAATGAAACTATTACTACCTTATTACATTTCCAAGGTGTGCTGATAAGAGCGCTTAGCCTGCTCAACTACCAGTATTCGCCACTTATGAAGCGCTTTATCAAGAGCAGCCCAGCCAGCATGTGGCTCTGACTCAGAAAAACCGAGACAATTATGTTGAAATTCGTTAAGATTCGGAGGCGGCGCCATGAAACTATAAATGCCAACTCTTAAAGTCTGACGTCCGTTCCGAGCCCATTGATAAAAAATATATTTCTGAATGCCCGGCGCGCCCTGCCGCTTACGCAAAACTCCTGCGAACGGATCCCGATCCCCATTCCGATCCCCATTCCGAGCCAGAGCCCAAAACCACATACCCCATACTCCATACCCAGACCCAAGACCCAAGAAATCAGAAATCCCGATCCGCTCTCTCACCCCCATTCGAAGTGAAGAGCGGCGTCTGAGCGGCAACCTGAGCCGATCCGAAGCGCCGATCCTCGATTTTTGAAGCGCGTATAAAAGCTTGGCTACGTCGGCGATGAAAGCTCATTGTGCGCTCGCCACTCGTGATTATCAGGTAACGTCGATCGGACGGACGGTCTTTCGGTTTGCCCGCCAAAAAACACGTATACGTAGTGTTGCAGCTAGAAAGGTGCTCGAGGTGCCTTGCTGATCTATTGAGAATCGTGATCCCAGAACGCCACTAAAATGAGTTCAAAGGTAAGTTTCGATTTGGTGGGCTTGCGGTTTTAACTTGAAACTATTATTCCTGTACAACTATTTCGGGTAGTTTATTAAAATGGCTCCTTAAAATGTTTATTAAATGTGAACTGTGTTGCTCGGCACCAACTAACCAGTCAGTAAGTGAACATTTCCCTGAAATCATATTTTCATTGGCCTAACCAAATAGTTCAACAATATGTCCAGTATAAGGTGGAATTTTCCAAACAAATAACTGTCTTCTAAGAACACTCCACTTTAATTACTTAAATTAGCTTCGCGCCAGAAAGTGGGTGTGTACATTTAACAGGCTGTCAGCTAAAAATATCAATATAAACAAATGCGCTTTTGTTCTCCACGGGCAACAGCATAATGCCCGCACCGATTCCGATTCCGATTTGGATTCAGATTCGGATTCAGATTCAAAACCATATGGGGGAGCGAGTGCTAAACAGACTGGAGTGTCACCGCAAGGTGCGAAATGCGAACTGCAAAATGCGGAAATGCCTACCTGCGAGGCGCATTACATAATTTCCACTTCAGCTCCAGCTTTCTGTAATGCCGGGGAAGTTTCGGTCATTAACAGCGGCAATTAAATTTTACCATTTGGCCGCGTCGACTTGCAAATGCGCTCCAGTTTATGTCTCGATCATGAATTGATGTTGACCCAGTTAATGGGCGGCATAATCCGGTGCGTGGGAGTCGGCGACGTCTTCCAGGCATCCCGGCACCCGGCACCCAGCTGCCGTCATCCGAAGTGGTTAATCCAGATTTGTCCAGAGATGCGATCCAAAGCAGAGCAGAGTGCAGCCGGTTAGAGGATCGTTGTAACACTTATGCGATAAATTCTGAGCGTCAGCGATTTATAATTAGGCGCCGGAGGCCGGTTGGGTGTTTAATTTGGAATACACTCATACTCACAGTTGTTTTGCCTTTTCTCCCGCTCCTCCATTGCAGTTGAATATGTGCCGCTGGATGCTGCTGGTCCTCGGAGTCTGTTGTCTGATGGGCAGCTCGTCGGGCAGCTTCTGCTCCCTGGAGCGGATGAAGAAGTTCGCGATGGAGGCGTGCGAGCACCTGTTCCAGGCGGACGAGGGTGCCCGCCGCGACAGGAGGTCCATCGAGTACGCGCACCACCATCTTAACCGAGTCGGATGTGAGTATCCTTAGATTTTCTAGCACAGAATTTCTGATCTTATTCAAAATCAAATGTTTCGGGAATATTTAAAGATAAAACCAATTGTTTACGATTAATGCATTTTGTGCATAGCGGATCAATTTGAAAATTTAGTTCCAACTACAGAATAGCATGAAAATATCACTGATTCAATTCCACTGTAGATCTGGAAGGAAAAGATTAAAATATTGGATTAGCGAGTTAATAAGGTCAGAGTGTCAGTCAACCCGACAATTGCATTCGGAACTGCATATCGAAAACACGTTTTTTAAGTGTGTAGATTGCAATTAATACGCGCACTACACCGGCATTTGCATAAAGCAGTTCCGATGCAAAAGTTAACCGATTTCAAGGCGCAGGTTCAAGATCAATTTGCTCACTGGCAACGTTTTCCCCCTTTTCAGCCGGCAAATCTGTCCACAAGCACCACTATATCAGCCGGAGCAGTTACCCAATGGGTGGCTACCTGAAGGTGACCCGGGACCACTTCAACCGCCTCAGCGAACTGGACATCTTTCCGCGCTACAAGCCCATTAAGCCGCACCACGAGAAGAAGAATCGCTTCAAGAGGGATCACTCGAACAGGTCCTACAACAACATCCCCTACTGCTGCTTAAACCAGTGTGAGGAGGAGTTCTTCTGCTAAGAGACCTCCAGTGCCATGCCCCATGTCGGTGCCATCTGGTCAGAATCTTCCGAGTCCGTCCATAGTTATAGTTAGGTTATTGATGTACATTCTACAAGTCGCGCTCACTCTTATAGAGTACCTTTTTGTGCCCACTTCCAGGGACACAAATCCATTTACAGTATTTATACACCTAGATCGAGTTTGAATAAACAATCGAACACGGCAATCGAACGGAACTGTGGTTTTTATAAAGGTTGGTGTGCACCTACAATTCATTAACAGTCATTATCCAGAAAATTTCACAGCGTATTAGGCTTAGATGACGCATATTCATTAAAATCATAAAATGTTTACAAACTTAGACCTAAACACTCTTAATAGTATTACAATTGCAGTACAAGGGTCTCAATATGGCTGACAAATCTTGGTTCAATGACAAACTATTGATCACGTAATGGTTTCAACTTAATAGCACCATAATTGGACGTATACTTATCGAGAAAACAAAAATGACACCCAATAATAAGTAAATAAAAGGACAGCTTTAGGAAACAGCCTATATGGAACTAATATAGTAGGCGCCCTTGCAAACGTTGCATTTGTACTTGCGGCAGTTCTTCTCGCTAACTGGCTCCAGAGATCGAAAGTATTTTGATACCACCATCAAGATATCCTCCCGGCGTCTCTGAAGGAAATCTTCGCCGAAGTCATCAAAGGTTTTAACGCAATGCATTAGAATGCGAAAGAGGACCGCCTCAGTAGACACGAACGTATTCAGCGAGCGATCAATGGAATCCACGTTCTCCTCTACGAAAGTGCGGGTCATCTGCATAAGAAGCTGTACTGCCTGATCGCTAAAGTACCTGGCCATGGCCTCCAAAACGTCCGTAAAGCTAGCCAGATTGCCGATATGCTCCACGAATTTTCCGCCGAATTTCTGCGCCAGCACATCCATATTGATCAGCATCTGCCCGCCACCGCCGAGGCTCAGTATTTGGGGCAACAAAGTGGTGGCCACTGTGAGTCCCTGACTTAGATGCGAGTTGATATTGTGAAGGCTGAGGAGTGCCTCCTTAAAAGGAATTTCGTTGAGGGTTCTCACAATATCGAATCGGCCAGATTCATTGTGGAGCTTCACTGTTTCCTTGGAGATTCGATCAAAGACTTTTCTGTTGATACAGGAATGATGCAAAAATTGTGTGATTACCGGGAGGAATTAACTTGCCTGGATTGGTTTCGTAGTGCTCGCCTCAAGGAAGACCCGTTGGTAGCCTTGGAAGCGATGCGCATATTGTTAATGGAATGAGTGAATATCACCAGGTGCGAGGCCATCTGCAGCATGTCCAAGCTGTTTATGGCTTGATCATCACCAAGTTTCTGAGGAAGCGAAATGAAGTTGTAAAATTAATGTACTTTTTATGGATGGATCCTTACCAAATATAAATCATAAACACTACTCGCCACACCCGTTCCGGCGATGACAACTGAGGCGCCATTTATCCCCCTAACGGCCAACTGCGCTGCGGGATTAACTTTGTAGCCAGCTCCTGCAGCGGTGGACAGAGCTTTAGTGGCCCCAGTGGCTCCCAGGCCCACAACGCCACCTGCTACGCCCAACCAAGAGCTGCGTGCCTCGGTATCCGTAATGCTGGTGGACTGCCCGTGCCGTCGGCGATCGATGAGATGGGAGGCAGAGCGCAGGGTACTGTAGACTCCGGTGGCCACGCCTACAGCGGTGGCTGCAATAACGAGGGGAGCGCCCAGAGGCACCGCCAGCGCTGCAGCCGCCGGAACACTGGCAACCAGGCTACCCACAGTGGCGACTTTATCGCCAGCATTCAGCAATTTATATCTGGCACGCGCTGCGGGCGTTGGATGGACCATCAACTGGACCCCCGGCTCCTCGTCTCCGGTGAATGTGTAAATTCCTTGACTAGGGGCGATCATCAAGCCCTTGGGCAGGGTGTTCCGGAAGACGTACTGCTCCCAATTGGAGTACACTCGTGCATTTTCGTCAACAAAAATCATGCAGCAGGCGGCGCTGTTCTCGCCCTTCATGCAGCGACGGGTGCGAAAAACAGGGTGACAGGAGTAGTTGGTGGACTGCAGGGCCGATTCCGGGTCTGTATCCGGCGTGACCAGCACGTAAATAATGGCGGAGAGCAATGTGCCGTTGGTGTAACAACGCTGCTGCCAAATATTGCGGAAAAGCTGCTCCCGCTTTCGCTGAATCGCTTTGGCATTGCGGCCGTCATCCTCGCCAATAAGGTTCTCTATCTTTTGCTTTAGAACATCCCCCTGATCTGGGGCTAACCTGTAGGTATATATAGTGTTTTACCAAGCACGATTATTTAAGTAATTGCGTAACATACGAATCCCAAATAATTTCCGAACGCAGACCACTGCTGAAGCCAAAATCCCTTTGCACTTCGTAGGCGGTGCGAGAATTTTGAGTAATTTCTGATTCCTCCATGTCTTAGTACTCCTAATTTCTGGAAAATCTGGCACTATTCATCTATAGCTCAGGTCAAAGACACTTACTTAAATTTAGAGATTTTAGTATAATGGCAAATCAATGTTAAAATGCTACTTTCGTTTCCATGACAATTGGACAAAGCTGGCGCCAATTTATCGAGAACTAATCGATGTTTGAAGCCTCACGATATAAGCTTATCGATCGATGCCGCCTAATTTTTAATTATAAATTTTGAAAATATTTTTTTTTTTGCATCCGCTAAAATCTGTTATTAGCATACAAATTCTGCTTTAAGACTTCCCATTAAAACTACAATACCAAAGAATAATTGGATTTTAATATGGGAATTTTATTTTAAATATACACTTAAGAGTTAGTCATACAAAAACATTGCTAAGGCCACGGTTAAGTCTATTTAAGAGTTGGACGTTCAAAAGGTCATTGGCAAGCGATTTTCGTGGTGAAAAATCATCAACAAGATTAGTTAACAACGAATTAAAAGGTAAATAAAATGAAATTAAATACACGAATTGCATTGAAGTTGTGAGTCTATCAGTTGGTTATCAGTTAAAACAGTGGTTTATCTTAACAAAATTCGAACAATTCAAACTGGCTGCCATTAAAATCGAGTAATAAATAGTCCTAGGACCACCCGCCTGTAAGCTTGTGGAAGAGCTCCTCGTTGAGGGTCTGGTTGTTGTCCTTGGACCGCATAGACATGAAGATGTAGCCACCAATGAACTCGTGCACCACCTTGCAGTCGGCCGAGTGACAGGAAAAGACTACATTCTCGTCCTCAAACTGGATCATCATGCACTTAATGTTCCAATTGACGTTCCATGCCTTCATGGTGTTATATCGCCAGGTCTTGATGTGATCCCCCGAACTCAGATCCATGCGCATGATGCGGTTGTGAGCCACGCCGAGCAGCTCCTCCTTCCGATGTCCGTCAAACTTGATGACGAACAGGGTAACTCCAAAGTCGGGTAACGACCGCCAGGCCTGGATGTACTTCAATTTTGAGTCCAACGCATTCAGCTCCCTAACGTTGGCATGCGCTTCGAGGATCCGCTGAACTGCTTTGTTGGATAGTTTACGGAGTATCTTGGGCGACAGGTAATCAATTGCTTCAACGGAGCGCGGGTCAATGTTTACATGCACTCCGTGTGCTGGTCGCTGCATCTGCAGTAGCGAGAGTATGTTATCCACTTCACTCTCGTACGAGCTATCCGCCAGCGATCTTCCCTTGGCCGCCAAACGACAAGCGGCCATCCACTTGGCGTACTGCTGCTCGTTCTCGCAGCGCACCCACACCTCGCTGTTGGTTCCGTGGCCATCCTCCGGAGAGACTTCCAGCCGAATAGCATACTTTCCCTGGGACAGGTTTACATCCGGGGTTACTTCGCAGCCCTTCAGGTTGATGCTTATGGCAGGCGCAACACGCCGCGACTCTTCGGCGTTCTTGAAGAGGTGCAAATGCAGATCCCGATAGGTAAAGTAGTATCGCTTATAGCCGCGCAGCGTGAATCTTTGCGGCTTCAGGTAACGCAAATAGTCGGAGAGCTCCGGTATGCGTGTAATGTCCCGCGAGTCTCCGCCATAGTCCGGTCCCTCCAGCGTAATCTGGAGCTCTTTGAGTGCCGAATCAATCTCATCTTCGTTGTCATTCTCCTGACTTGAAGTTTCAATGCCTGAGTCCACTGCACCACCCTGGGGTGTATGATTTACGTGATGGTTCACCTGAAACTGCAGGGCGGCGAACATAAGGCTCTCCTCCTCTGTGCAATCCAGCTCTTCGTTAAGCACACTCCACTTGGCCTGCTCGTACAGCTGATTGATGCGCACCTGGTCGCACTTGGGATTCAGGTCGAAAAAGGTGAAGTACTTAAAGCGCAAGCACAGCGTGTCGTACTCGCGTATTCCCTGTTCCATGATGGACAGCGACGAATCTAGCCAGCCCACATTCAAGCGCGCCTTCTCCACCAGCGACTTGGGGCGCAGCAGAAGGGCACGCACATCCGCGCAGGGGGTGGGCGGAGAGCTGGCCAAATTCTCCTGGAAATCTCCAAGACTTGAGGAGCTTGAATCGTACGTGGCATAGCCAAGCTGGCTCTGTTTCCAGGTGCCTGGGGCAGGTGAGACAGCGCGCATTGGCGAGCGGGCTCGGTGATTGTGCGGCGACAGAGGAGCGCAGAAGAAGGATCCTGGTGCAGAAGGCTTATCCAGGCTGCCCGTGCTCCCGCCTTCTCCATGAAACGAAGTGCTGATGGGCACAAACGAGTTGGTGTCCGCAGCAGGCTGTAGGTATGTGGTGCCATCGGGTTCAGCGATTGGCACTCGCTTCTGATGCGGCAACTGGGCGAAGTTGCGCTTCAGGTGCTCAGCTTCCAGAGGTTTGCAGAGGGACAACTCCTCCGGGTAGCGGATATCCAATTGCTTGCACAGATTAACCACCGCCGAAAACGTCTTTACGGAGTAATCCACCCGGCAGTCCAAGTACCTCAAATCCGGCAGCTGCACCCGCAGTATCTTGTGCATGGGCGTGAAGTGCAGCAGACTGTCTGCTTGGACACCATACTGATCCAGGGTCAATTTGGTTCTGCTGAGCCAAACATTCCGCGCCGGCCACCACAGAGCATGATCCGACCAGTCCTTGGGATTCTCTGGATCCACCAGTTGCAGCATGATGCCCCCAATGTGCTGGTCACCGCGCACGCGCATAGTCTTCTCCAGTGCCAGATCCGTGATGAAGATCCGCAGATTCCACGAGTTCTCGCCGACGTGGATCATGGTTCTGCAGTGATGTCACCTGTCCTACTTTGTACTGCCTGTCTGGGGCGTTTCTAGGTCGTCCTTGGTGGGTCGCCCACTGCAAAATCGAGAGTTTTCCACCGATCGGCGCACAGATGGTCGTCAAAATCGCATTTCCCGCACTGTGACGCAATCCACGGGTCGAAAATTCACTGCAATTGCGTTGCCTAGAACGCAATGTTTCCGGATCCGGGCAATTGCATCTATTAGTTTCGCTTGTGTAAATAGAGCAACTTAAGAAAATTCAGTCCATTGAGAAGAAAGCGCCGAACCGACTGGTTTACCCACTCGCGATGGTATCGATATATCTCTGCCTTGGTTTTCCGAATAACTATCGATTATTGAGTTGACCGGTGTAACCAGATGGCAAAAGATATTTGTTCGATTACATTTTTAGATTACATTTAATTTATGGGCGCGAACAAATTTTTAAATTCAATTTAATGGGATGCATTTTTAAAGTATTCTCCATAGATGGGAGCTTTATTAGTTGGTATCACCATTAAATGAATATTGTACTCAAAATTATTTTCGATTTCGATTTTTATAATCACTATCTCGGGAACTGTAATAGAAAGTTCTTTTCGGAACGCAAATATTTCTTACTCTCAATCAATGCACTTCACTATCACCTGTAATTACTGATTGCTCACGCAAAAAAATTGGTTACCCCAGAATGGATTTTTAAAAAATTTCTTTAGAAAATAAGCCACTACCGCTTTTGCCTGTTGGTGGGCTCAAGGTAATCAAATTAAATTGACTTCATTTGAGCCCAATTGGTAAGTGGTCAAATTGGATGGAGACACGCAGGGTAATTTCAAACGGAGGCCTCTATAAAAGCCCGAATTGGAAGTACGGTTATCAGCATACGATCGACTCGAAAATGGGACAGCCCGGTTTCCGTCGTGCCATAGGGCACATTTCGTTGGTGGTGGCACTGATGTGCACAACCTGTTTCCAAGTGGAAGGACTACCTCATCCGCCAACCACCACGCCGGCACCGATGATGGAGAGGATGGTGGAGCAGGCCTACGACGATAAGTTCGACAACGTCGATCTGGACGAGATCCTTAACCAAGAGCGGCTGTTAATCAACTACATAAAGTGCCTGGAGGGCACAGGTCCTTGCACGCCCGATGCCAAGATGCTGAAGGGTAAGTGCAAGTCGCAATTTAATTAATCTGGGTAATACCCAATCGCTTGTAGAGATCCTACCCGACGCCATCCAAACCGATTGCACCAAGTGCACGGAGAAGCAACGGTATGGTGCTGAAAAGGTGACCCGTCATCTCATCGACAACCGACCCACCGACTGGGAGCGTCTGGAGAAGATCTACGATCCCGAGGGAACCTACCGCATCAAATACCAGGAGATGAAGGCCAAAGCCAATGCGGAGCCTTGATCAAGTTCTATTTTATTTCGTTGTTAACTTTAGTGTTTATGTTGCTTTAATTAACGAATAAACTGCAGAGAAGCTTCAACCTTTGACCTTTTTGAAGGTATACAAACAGTAAGATTCTAGATAGAAATCCACTCATATTTTACAGGATATGAGTCAAACAACTTTAATAAATAGTTGCAGATCTATTTTCTTAAACAAAAACCAAATTAAATTTAACAGAGTCGTTTAAAAAGGCATACAAGTTGTCTCGATTCCCCAATTCGATAGACGAGCAATCGGAGGCGTCATGGCAACCAGTTTCTAGGAGCCCCGATTCCGGATTTAGCCCCAACAACGCAGCAGTCGGCGGAGCAAACAATAAACAAACATCAGACACCAAACATCAAACAACTGGCGTAACCACAGCAGCAGGCACTTGGTTTTCATTTACATTTCGACTTCGTCTCGCACCGGCTCTCCATCTGTTTCTACACACCAAACATCCGAATTGGCCTCTGAAAATTATTAGCTTTCCCGAGCTAACCCAGTGATAATCCTCCGGAGCAGCGGCAGGATCTTAGATGGTATCGCCGCGGAAACCGGCATCGTCCTACGGCCCAGGAGCATCCCATTTGGAAGCGAACAATCTGATGGCGTGGGTAGAGTCTACATCTTCGGAAGCAGCACCCATCTAAAGTCTCCCCCCAAATCTCTTTTCTAGAGCGTCGGCAAAGAGCTGTGAGAGCCTATTGTCGGCCAGCTCCCGGGAGTCGGCCAGCCTGATCTACCAGCGAAGCAAGCCGCCTCCGCAACAACGTGGCGGCATAAAGGCTTCCGGCAGCATGAGCTCCCAGAACCACAACGAGATCCATCAGCGGGTTATGTCCGCGAGGAATCTCCGCGCCAAGACCTTCCAGAACCAACTGGCCGATGCCCAGGCGGAGATCGCCAATCTGGCGCACGAGAACCGCATGCTCCGCACCCTCCACAAACGCCAGTCCTCGGCGCTGAACAAGTACGAGTCCAGCAACGACGGGCTGCCCAAGTTGCTCCACTCCCACGCCGAGGAGCTGCGCATGTGGCAGGTCAAGTACCGCAATCTGCAGGCTGTGAACAAGGATCTGGAGCTTAAGCTCAAGCAGAAGGAGAGCATCATCCTTTCGCTGAGCGATGAGAACAAACGATACAACCAGCTCAACAAGGATAAGTATGTCGAGTTGCACTTCCAACTTCCTTCTCCAATTGACCTTCACGGATATGTATAAAATAGTACAATATTGGTTCTTATTTAGGAATTTGGACGAGCGCCAAAAGCTTCAGGAAAAGTTGAAATCTCTGGAGCAGCGTCTGGAGGAGAAGGATAACGACATGAAGCTGTTGGCCCGCAAGGTGCAGCTGGAGTCCAAGAACGTTCGCCAGCAACTGCTCAACGAGCAAAGGAAGGGCAAGGAGGTGATGCTGAAGCTGGAGAAGGCCAAACTGGAGATTAGTGGCTATCGCAAGCTGGAAGAGTACACTGTGGGTATTATGAGTATTTCAACCATGTCATACTTTGACACTCTAGCCTTTAGCTCGGCACTGACAAGGGGAATCCCTTGTCCTCCGGAAGACGAACTAAACTGAGTGGCGTCTCCGAGGAGCCGGAAAAGATCGACAAGTTGGAGAAGTCACGGGAAATGTTTTCTAGCATTGAGAAGAACAACCAGAGCGAGTTCACCGCTTTGACGGATGTGATGGAGTCCGAATCGTTCTACGACTTCGATAAGGACAGTGCCGAGGACAAGAGTGGACCAAACACTCCACCTAGTCAAATCGAGCGACATGTGGGAGGGCGCGGCGGCAAGCTTATCCTGCCGCCGGCCACGAACCAGGCTAAGATGGGACAAAACGCACGTCGGTCCGCTCTGAGCCAAGTGCTCTCGGCCCAGGGAAAGATTCCGGTATCTTCTGGAAAGTCTGGAAAATCACGAATTGCCGTTGCAGTGCCCAAGATGGAAAGTGTCCAGGTCAGCAAGCGTCGTGAGCCGGAGACCATGCCCAGATTGGCTTCCGCCGAAGCTAATCCCAAGCAGATATCCCTGAAATCTCTGGAGTACGAGTACGAAGACGACTATGAGCCGGCTGGCGAAGACGATGTGGATGATGCATACGGCCTGATGAACAAGATGTGCAAGCCGGGAGAGGAACCCGAGGACAACAGCGAAGATAATGCCAACGATAGCAGTCTGCTGAAATACGCCGCATACCCAGATAACAAGAGCAGCAAGGGCGATCCCCGAGAGGACTCGACGGAGGAGTACGACGGAACTGATGGTGAAGAAACGCAACGCAGCGAAGACGAGGTGACTTCTGCCTTTGTAATTCCTTTCCAGTCATAGTCCTTACATTTTTTCTCAGCCCCAGGACAATGGTTTACGTGCTCCACGTCTGAAGGAGAACATGTCCAGCCTGCGCAAGCAGATCTCGGATGACTACAAGGAGCGCGAGAGCTTCCTGGAGACGTTCTGCCGCCAGGCCAGCAGCAGCAATATGCGCGACGATCCTGCGCCAAAGAAGAGGAACAGCATCGCTACCGGAGCAGCGGCCAGTAGCCACATGACTGGCAGTCGCAAGCACGCCCTCTTGGCCGCTTTGAAGACGATCGACGACAACAAGAGCCAGGACTAGAGAACAATGCATTAATTTCACCCACGTCCAGTTCGTTAGTCGTTAAGCGGTGTTGGGTTATATATATATTTTTCAAGCTGAGGCCCGTGCGTCCGGCCCAGATGGAGCAGCTGCATCAGTGACTGGCCCAGATGGCTCGAATCCAGCCCTTGATGCATTTGCTCCATGGCCGGTCGCACGGACGTTGATTAAATTTTAATATAAATGTATCTGTGCTTGGTATATAATTGAAAGGATGTCCCTTATCCATATCCTCATGTTTATAACCTTCAATTCTAGAGAAATTAGTGTTATATTTTCGTTAAGAAGTATATTCCACCTAAAAGGCTTGCTGATCAGTTCCGTCCGACAACAAATGGGACAAAATGTACCCTCGTCGTTCTTGATCATAAAAACATTTAATTTTGTTATATCTACATTTTATACAGCAAACTATCTAAGAATTGTCCTTCAATCACTTTCCAGTCTGCTTTCCCCGCACCTTGCTGATGGCCCGCGATACCTTCTTGCGGAGCTCCTTTTGGCGCCGCTCCTTGGAAGCCATCTTCTCCCGCTTTTTCTCGCGGTAGTTCTTAATGCGCTTCTTCATTTCCAAGCGTTCACGTTGCCGCTTGTCCTTAAAGTTGGTCTCGATCATCTTCATCATCTTGGACACCTTCTGCTCGTACGGTGAGTTAACCACGGCCACGCGCTCCATCGCCACCTTGGGATTCTCCGGACCCAGCTTGGGCTTGTCCTTGTACGGCAACGCCCTCTGAAGGGCCTTGGGTATGGTAAGTGGGCGGAATATCTTCTCCTTGCGCACGACCGTTGTATACATACTGTCGGGCTGGGCTGCATTTTGCACTGCCTTTTCTCGCTTGAGTTGACCGAGCGTCTTCATGCCCTGCCACTGGCTCTTCTGGTCTAGCGGCAGCAGGAGTGAGGTAACAGGAGCATAGAACCGGGGCACCTCCACCCGGAACCAGGTGCGGCAGAAAACTATGTCGCTCAGAAGGATCTTGTCCTCGAATGTTGCACGATAAGAACCATCGGGCGTGTGGTGAGCCTTCTTGATCTGTCCGCGAATTCCAGATACCGTTTTGATCTTGGCTCCTTCGAACTTTGCAACTTCCAGTGAGGAGTTGAACATGTCCTTCACAAAAGCTGTCTTCTTGTAGATCTTAAACGGGTGTCCCACCAGCTTGAGCTTCTTCATGATCTGCGAGGATTTGTCCAGCTCGGTGACACATCCTGTGGCCGCTATCCGAAAGCCAAGCCGACGCATCTCCTCCTGATCCTGACGCACAGTTTGCAATGCCAGGAAGCCAGTATTTTGAGGCGTTATTGGACCCCAGAAGGTCATGCTGCAGGTTACATGATTAGGCGTATATTTTAGGTAGCGCTGCCGGAAGTTGTCCTCCACCTTGGCATAGATTGCTACTGTTTGGAAACGGCGCCAACCCATTGAGATGATTAAAGGATCACCTGTTTTAAGGATCTTCTTGTACCAGCGGTGCTTCTTCACCTTGCAGTTAACATAGCCAACGTTTTCCTCGGTCATGTTTAAGGCACCAACCAGTACCGGATAGCTGGCATCGAAATTCTCCACAAACTCGGCGGGGAGCTGCTTGAAACCAAGGCGGACGTAAAGACCCGGTCGATAACCCTCGATCTGAATGCGGAACTCATTATCCAGGTGGGCAAACTCGCTCTTATTAAGCTCACTCTGCCGCTGAGCCTCCGCCTTGAGGTCTTCGTAGAAGGAGTGATCGCCAGTAATTCTACCATTATCCTCCTCCTTTCCCTCGCCACTGTTGTCGTACTCCGCATCGAACTTGGCCTTTAACTTTAATTTTTTTGCCATCAGCTCTGCCTTGGTGAGATTTTCCTCCTCTACGCGGGTCAGCTTGCGCTTGGCTGCTGAGGGCTCCTCAGATTTTAAAGTCTCTTCATCCGATTCTCCACCAACTTCTGTATTGGGTTTACCGCTGTGCTGCTCGCCCGTCTCCAAATCCTCAAAGTCCCCGTACACTTCGCTTTCTGCGTCACTCATGTCGTCCATCTTCAGTAGATTTTCAGCATCCTCGCTGGCCTTCCACTTGCCGGTAACGAAACAGTTCTTGATAAGTTCCTTGTTGTCTTCCGCCAGCCAATCCCGAGTTGCATCTTAAATATTAAATAAATGTAAATATGTTGACCATTCCTAAATAAATATATTCGGTTGAACAACATACCTCCCTGATACTCGAAAAAACACCGCTCGTCCTTATCCCTAATGTCCTTGTCTGATTGCTGCTGGCTTTGTTTCTTAGCAGCCACCCGAAACAGACCACCCAGTTCTTCTTCTGAGTCATCTTCTCCTTCTGCCTCCTGACGGCTATGTTCACTCTGATTATAAACACCGTAGACAAGGCGCATTAGGTTTTTAGACTCTGAGTGACGTTGGAGAAAAGCATCGCGGGCCTTTTGGGCCAGGTTAGTCTTCCAGCTCATGTTGCTGGCCAGGACGCGAGCCTCCTCATCGTCCGAATCAGATTCGTTGGATGTTTTCACATTTCCCAGGCTCTGATACTCCTCATCGCCAGAAGAAGCATCTTCCTCCTCAGCATCCTCCTCCTGCTCACTGTTCTCACCACGCCAATCGTCCGCATCGAACTCATCCTGCTGATCCTCACTGTCGGCAGCATCCAGACCAGAGTCCTCCCCATCGTCATCCTCATCCTCGTTCTCACTACTTTCCACCTCTTCAATCTCTTCGTCATCCTGATCATTGCGGAAGTCCTTGGACTTGATTGGCTTGCCATCTGAAAAGAGGCGGAACTCTTGCTGATCCATCTGCTCGTCGATGGTGGCCTTCTTATCAATCAGCTTGTTCACCAATTCCGCCTGCTCGGCAGCCTCAGCGGTCTGCTCCTGTTCCTTGTGCGAATGCGATCCCTGGAGCTCAATGTAGACCGCATCCTTGTCGTAAACAATGCCGCCGACTCCCGACATGGGGGCGTACAGTAATCGTTCTTTCTCTAGCAAACTCCGCTTCTTTTCTGTCCCAGGAAGGGGGCATGGATCGGGAATAACGTTCAACTCATCAATCCGGGCATCCCCCAGGCCAGCAATATGCACCATGTGTTCCTGCTTGAGAGGAACCCCTCGCACATAGCCGTAGAGTACAACCTCACGATCACACTTGGGATCCCGGCGGACGCGATCCGTGTTTGTCACATCCTCAATACGGTCTACCAGCAGATAACTATGTGCTCCACGCCACTGCAGCGGGCGGAACTTCATCACGGAGATAAAGCGTCCCAGGTTTTTGACTTCGTTCCGCAGGTACTCGCCATGAAGCAGACCTGAAAGGTAGAACAGCTTGGCGCCATCGTAGACCTCTGTCCAAAAGCGGTGCTTCAGCTCCTTCTTTCGCTTTCTCAGCTGTTTGGGGTTCTTGATCATGTCCAGGTGGGTAAGTACGCCCATTATCTTGGGCATGCCGTGCACTTGGCAGATGTTCAGGAACTCAAAGATCTCCATTTCGAAACCGTAGCTTGCGTCGCAAAGCAGCAGGACCAGGTCTGCGCATTTCGCCACATCGATCATGGAGTTAACATCGTTGTTGCACTCCAGCAGGGTGATCCGGCGCTTCTTGGAGGTCACAATAGTGATAGGACCCTTAATATCGGTGACATTTGTCCGTGTAAAGCTTTTGATTAGGTTCTTGATCAGCGTAGTCTTGCCCACTTTGGGCGGTCCCACCACGGCAATTAATACGGGTGGCGGTACGTCCGGAGTTTGATCGACAAGCGGAATATGCTGCTTCTTGGCTGTGAGGTCCTCCTTGCGCCGGAAATTTCTCTCTGCACGCTGCGCCGAGTTGATGGCGAACGCCTTGGGATTCCTCTGCCTGGCGGTCAACTCGGGCTCCTTCTGGTTGGAGTCCTTCTTGGCCTTCAGCTTTTTCTTGTCCGCCTTCACGCCGGACTGGCGGGCGCGGTGCTGCTTTCGCTTATCCTGGCCGGCATCGTCGGCCATTGTTACAGCGGTTAAATATCTACAATTATTAAATTATCCGCTGTTTACGCGCTGCACGTGGAGCCAGTGTTGCCAGATTATGAAAGAACTCCAGCTCAATTGGTTTTATCCAGCCCTGAATACCTATCGTAAAAAAAAGAGTAAGGGTAATTAGAGGGATGATAGATTAATATTAATAGATATAATTAATCGAAGTAATTAATAAGTTTTTGTTTAAATTTCTTTAAATATACATTTATACATTAAATATACAATTTATACATATTAAGTAAAGTGCCTCAGTTGTTGTTTCCATTTCTTTAAATATACCTTTCTTATTTATTGTAGATAGATTTCGTAAGCATATTGAGTAAAGTGTCGCATTAAAAAAAAAATACAAAAAAGACTTACACCTTTTTTTTACATTCCAATTATATATACATATGTCAAAAAATACTATCGAGTAGGTAACATAGGTATTCGTTTGTAACTCATATAAGCTAAACCAAAATCCACAAAAGCCATTTAAGCTGGTAATCAGCATTAAATATCGCAGTTCCTAATCCCATCGTCCTCAGAAAACTCAGGAAAAATGTTATAAAACACGGATAGCCAGTTTTCTAATAATGCACGTTTTCACTTTCTCGTTAATATAACAACAAGACTGAAATGTACCCAAGCAAAATAAATTGAAATTTCATTCACTTGTCTGTCTAGTTTCTGTGTTATTTTGATAAAATATTTCTACAATATCTAAAAAACATAATTGTATTGTAACATTGGCTCCCACCTCTACTGGTATTTCCTCAAGTGCCATCACTGCCTTGCGGCGTTTCGCTGTGAGCGCTTTTTCGGTATTTCGCCCCATATACGGTCACACTTCTGCACTGTGGATTTTTCGCAATTTGATATTAATTTTATTCGATCGGCTCGGGCAAAATGTACCGCACTCAGATCTGCACTCAGGTTCCACTCTAATCGGCTCGCAGCTGCATCCTTTCACCTGCGCAGGTGAAACGCAAGAACGGCAACCAGAGCCCTGGTGAAACAGAGGCGGCGAAGGAGTGTCCAAGAAGGGGGAGGAGCAGTGCGGCGGAAGGCAAAAGTCTTAAGGCGAACCAACGCACAAAAGCCAGGTAACCGAAGATAAAATCTGGATAATCTGATTTTCAGCCGGTTGAAAAGGAGGCGAAATACCAGGGCAGTTGCAGTTAGTGGGGGGTTC